CGAGGTGCGGGGAGAGCGGGAGGCCAGGCAGGCGGAGCTGAGTGCGCAGGCGCGGCGGGGGCCCTCCTGCGGAGGGCGCGCCCCCCCCTCCCCCCTCCCCTCGGGGGCGGCCAAGGAGGAGGTGACGACCCGAGGGGAGTGTTCGCTACAGTCGAGAGTATGATTAGTAGGTCGACCCCTCCAAATCGAGGGGGGCCCTCGTGTCCTATGTGTGTGTGTGTGTGTCGCGGTCCACGTCCTCTGCCGTCCTGGGGCGGCGTGGCCTTCGGAAGGGTCTTGTGTTCTCCCGCGTGTCCTCTTCGATCGAGCCCGACCGTTCTCGGCGGCCGTCTGGCCACGCGGCGCTTTCCAGCGGCTGCGCCTCGTCGAGGGCCTCTCTGCGGGTGCCCCCGATCGTCCCGCAGGGCTGCTGGAGGCCCGAGCTGTGACCCACGAACCACCAGGCGTCGAAGAGGGGGGCGGGGTGACTGGGAGGGGGGGGCGGATAGCGTCGCCGCCGTGGCCGGGGCCATCACATCTCCTCGGATGCCATGGCCCCCCTCTCCTTCCTCCAGCGCATCCTCTGGCGCCCCCCGCCGCGCCCCTGGGCCGCGCGCACGACGCGGGCTGTGATCTGCGACCCCCCTCGTGGACGCCCGCCCCCCCCCCCCCCTCCTCCAGCGCTCGGGGCCGACGTCCCCAGAGGCCCCCATCGCTCTGCGGAGATGCCGCGACGGAAAGTCTGCGGGCCGCTGCCGGGCCCCGCCGGGCCCCGGGACCGTCGAGCAGCTGCTCGGGGTGAAGGGCCCGCCCCGGGGAGCGGGCCGGGACCTCTGGGGGCCCCCGCTGCCAGGAGACCGCGCCGGCGGAGGTGTTGTTCGTGGGGGAGGGGGGGCGGAGCTGCCGAGGGGAGCGCGGAGGAGGGTACGAAGGATGAGGAGGAGGAGGAGGAGGAGGGAGAAGGGAGGAGGAAAGGGGAAGGAAAGGAGGAAGGAGGAGAGGAAGAGGGAAGAGGGAGGAGGAGGAGGAGGAGGAGGAGGAGGAGGAGGAGGAGGAGGAGGAGGAGGAGGGGAGGAGGAGGAGGAGGAGGAAGAAGGAAGGAGGAGAAGGATGCAGGAGGCGGAAGTAGGGGGATGAAGGAGGAGGGAGGGAGCCGTTAAGCTACGACGGCCGCACTGCGATGAGTGAAGAAATTCCCGTTGGCGGTATGCACCGTTTGCGACGGAATGACGGCCGAATGCTTGAGGATGTGAAAGCGACACGTCGCACAGAAAACGTAGGTGCACAAAGTCCTTGCGACTGCAGCACGCGACACTGCGTCACAATGTGCGGGACGACCATGGTTCGGCTGCTCTCTTTCAACCTGGGAGATTTGTTGCACCTCGTGCCAGCGCCCCCTTTTCCATCCTACTCCCTACCCCTGGGCTCTCAAGAGCCCGTCCGGCTCTCCCGTTGATGTTGGAGCAGGCGCCGAGCTTGGGCCCCCTCCTCGAAGTCGGAGCTTCTTCTGCCAGGCCAGCCACAACTGGGGGAGCCGTGGTTCTTACCCCCCTGGGGGACCCATCGATTCCGACACCCCGCTCGAGAGATCGTCGACGCGGCGGGCTCCCCCGGGGGGGTAAGGACCTCAGCTCCCCCAGGCACGGCTGGTCGGTTTGCAGCCCGGGTCCGTGCCCGCACGCAGCCCCGCTCCCCCGCAGGACGTGCTGGCCCCCGCTCGGCGTGCCAGCCCGTGTCTCTGTCGGCCGACTGGGCCTCGTCTCTAATGATGGGCCTGTTTTCCACCACCACCACCACCATAAATTGGAGGGGGAGGGGGTCCTCCTCCTCCTCCTCCTCCTCCTCCTCCTCCTCCTCCTCCTCCTCCTCCTGCTCCTCCTCTTCTCCCTCCTCCTCCTCCTCCTCCTCCTCCCTCCTCCTCCTCCTCCTCCTCCTCCTCCTCTTCGTCCTCCTCCTCCTCCTCCTCCTCCTCCTCCTTGTCCTACTTCTCCTCCCCCCCATCCAACTTATGGTGGTGGTGGTGGAAAACAGGCCCATCATCTTCTGCTGCCTTGGTGCACTCCTCGCCTCAGGCCGCGGATGCCGAGTCGAGGCTGGCGGCCATCGCGAGCGACCTGGAGGACTTGGCAGCAGCAGCAGGGGCCGCCCGATGTGAGAATGCCGTCTGGAGACGAATCGTGCAGACATCTCGGGTGGGGTGGTAGAACGAAGGCAGGATCGGGATCGAGTCCGATCGGTGTACATCGAGAATCTCCGAGATCCGGCGGTTCTGAGGGATCTATCGGGCGCCGTGGCCTTCTCACAGTGCTGCCGCGAACGCTCCTTGAGAGCGTTCTGGAACGCTCTGGAGCGATGTCTCTCAATCTTGGACCCGATGTTGGCGGGGTGGGGCGTCGTACTGTCACGCGCGAATTCTAGTCTGGGCATTCTGGCAAACGCTCGCGGCAAGTCGGGAGCTGACCTACTATAATTGCGTGCAAGCCGATCTGCCGCACGCGCGTGACTTTGGGGTTCACGCTGCAGGCCGACCCCATCCAACGTGTCTGCAAGAAGCTCCGCCTCACGGCTACGAACGGCCAGGGGGATTGATCGAAGAAGAGGACTGTTGGAGGCCTACCTTCGTCGCCCCCCCCCCCCACCAGGTTCTGTTTCGATCCAGTCGGTCCGATCTGATATTGATTCCGCCCGGCCCAGTCAGAGTCGCTGCCGATATTCCGACGACCTGATGTGGCCAGATGTTTGCCTGATTCTGGTGTGCATCCTGGCGCGGCCCGTCCGATTCGATCCCGATTCCGTGCCGATCGCGGGCAGGTCCGACGCGCACTCCACTGCCCATCGGCCGTTGAACGTAGATACTTTGGGAGTCCCAGATTCCAATCTACTTGAAGCGCCTTCCTACTTCAATGATCGAGTGGCTTCACCTTTCCCGTCCTCTTCATGGGGCGGGCGGCGACCCAATCTATGTTCAACGCCTTCCCACTTCATGTTCCTACCTACAGTCGGGGCCCTGAAGAAGGAACCCTTTTCGTTGCGGAGGGGCCCCGCGTTCCTTAAGTGTTTCACAGCTTGCCTCAGGCTTTCCTTATGTTGCCGACAGGAAGTCGAAGGTTAACTTATGGAAAAAAGAGGCCTCGTTCCCTATTTTGGGTTCCTTAGGTCAAGGCCCCGACTGTATGTTCAACGCCTTCCTACTTCATGTTCCTGCCTACTTCTTCCCACCGAGGGGGGCAAGACAAGCTCGCCCGACTCCGTGCCGGCTGCCCCTCCTGCCCCCTGCCCTGCGCGCGGGGGGCAGCGCCCGGCACCTCGCGGCGGGGCCTGTCGGCCATGCGCAGAGGGGGGACGAGAAGGGGGGGATTGGGAAAGGGGGCGTTCCGAAACCTGCTGCATGCAGCTGGTCTCGGCCTCACCGAGGGGCCCACTCCTCGATGCATGGCCGCCTCCGGCGCCGGGAGGCGCCGGGAAGATCAGCTGCGTGAGCTGATTCTCAACTCCCCCCTTTGCTATCCCCCCCTTTCGCCCGACCCGACAGGCGCAGAGGGGGGCAGCGGGAGGGGGGGAAGGCTTCTTAGAAGCACCCCGGATTCACAGGAGGCGCGGGGCTGCTGCATACATGCAAGGCCGGCGCCTTCTGAGAAGCCGCCCCCCTCTACGACGCCTTCTCATACCCCCCTCTGCGCGCCGCCAAGCCTTCGCACACCCGCCGCACCCGGCCAGGCCCGTCCTAGGCCCAGGGGTGGCTTCGAGGGCATGCCCCAAGGGGGGGGCAGCCAGGCTTGCCTCTGTATCGAGGCCGCCCCGGCTCGAGGCAGCGTCGCCCTGTCTGCTGGTGTTGCGACGCCGGCTGCAGTCGCTCTGCGGCTTTCGGAGCAGAGAGGGCCAAGCCAGTCGGGCGTCTGCGCCGCTGCTGGGCCCAAGGTGGGCCTGGTTGGGGAGCGGTGGACGTGCGCGTGTGTGGAGATTTCTCTTCGCCCTACATTGCTCGGGGGCCCTCGAGCGGTGCGGTGACCACACCGTGCGGTGAGCCCGTGGGGCTTCGGGGTGGCTGCACGGCCTTCTTTGGACTCGAGTCGCTCTCTCCCGGCACTCCTCGGGCGACCGGGGCCTCCGGGGTCCCAGATCCGCCCCGCACGGCGACGGACCGTGCGGTGAGCGAATTTCTTTAGGGGTTCTGAGGTCGGTCACCGCACGGTCCGTCGCCGCACCGCGTTGGGGCCCCCCATCTAAGGCAGGGTCGCGTCGTGTCCACGCAGCTGCGACCCCGCCGTGGGCGTTCGAGGTTGAAAGCCGCCAGTGGCCCAGAATCGGCCAAGATTGGAACAATCCGTCCAGAGGTCGATAAGCCGCCGATCGTTCAAGATGGAACGATCCACGCGGTGTCAGAAACCAACCTTGGGGTCACGAACCTGCCATACCTCCCTTCCAGACGTGTGTCGGCGGCTGTGTCCACCGGGGGAAGATCAGCTTGAACTCGGTGATGGGAGTACAGTGCCGTTTTTAATACATGCTCCGCGTGCGGATCATGCATTGAAAAGCAAGGAATTAGTATTAAAAACAACGATGAGTTCATGCATACATTTATTCATACATTAATCATGTACTAAAAATCCAATCTAAAAAATCGATGTATGAAAAACTGCGCTGTACTATTCGGGCTCCTCCGGTGGCATGGAGATTACCACCAGCACCAAAATCTGGGAGCATCTTCTCTCAGTGGAGGTACCCCCCTGTGCTGGTTTTGGTGCCATGTATTCTTGGCCTCCCAAGTGGTGTCCGAGTAGACGGGGTCGGAAGATCGCGCCGCATCGCCGATGCATCGGCGATGCGGCTCGCTGTGGAGCCCGACTGTCTCCACGCCGACGGCGCCGATGCATCCCCGACGTCGCCTGTGCACCGCCAATGCATCGACGATGCATCAGCGATGCGGCGCGGTTCTCCGACCCCATCTGCCCACATCCCACCTTGGGGGGCCTCCGAGATGTCCCCTCCTCCCCGGCCCAGGCACGGCCGTGACGATTGATGGGGGAGAAGTTCGGGGCGCAATGCAGACGGGGGTCAACGCAGACGGGGGTCAGCCAGGGCACGGGATGCTGCAGGATCTTGCGGAGACCCCTTATGGCTGACCCGGGTTAGCGAGCCGCTCGTGGCCGCGAGGCGGCCGCGCATATTGGCTGACCCGGGCTTGCGAAGACCTGCGTTGCATTTTTTTGTTCTGCATTGCACTTTTTGGTTTCCTGCTGACCCGGGTCTGGATTGACCCGGGTCACAAGATCCCCGGAGAAGTTCGTACACAGATCACGAGATGTTCTTTTCAATCGTGTGCGGTCTCGTGTGACATTCTGACGCCACGGCGCCCACCTGCAGCGCCTCCGCCGGCGCAGTTTTTGGCGGGCGCCAGGGTGTGCCAGACGGTCCGGCGCTGGTCAACGTGAGCGGTGGGTTGCGCCGGAGGCGACTGGAGGGGCACGAGAGCGACAGAGCAGGAAGTGCGAGAAGAGAAGGACGGGGCCCGAGCAGGCTGTGTAGACAGGCGCGGGAGTGCCGAGGAGGGACATGAAAGCCCCGCTGGCGCACACCTGCAGGTCCGGTGCCGCTCCCTGGCCCGGATGAGCCACCCGAGCGCCACTCCCTCGGGCGACCGCGCGGAGGCGGAGGAGGCGGAGGAGGAGGAGGAGGCGGAGGAGGAGGAGGAGGAGGCGGAGGCGGAGGAGGAGGAGGAGGAGGAGGAGGCGGAGGAGGCGGAGGAGGGCGCCGCAGGACGAGCGCCAGCGCTCGGAGGAGCTCGAGCGCAGGGTGGCCGCGCACGAGGAGCGGGAGCGCGTGCTCGCCGCCGCGGCCGCGTGCGCCACGCCGCGGCAGGAGCCGCCGCGCGGGGCGGGAGGCGGGGCGTTTGGAGCCGTCTGCGGTCGGAGGCTGGCCCAGCATTCATTGGAGCAAAAGTCCGCGGTGTGGCGTTGTGTGTTGACTCCATTTGTGCTGTCTTCCCCTTCCTCCCTCCTCCGCTGCGTTCCCCGCGTGCACTTTGCCCCTGCGAGTTCCTCTTACCTGCGAGTGGTGCTGACGTAGCGCAGGCGTTCCGAGGCAGCGATCGCGCTTGGAAAAAACAAAAAAAAAAAAAAAAAAAAAGCATTGGAGCAAAAGTCGGGCCGGGCGAAAGGGGGGGATTGGGAAAGAGGGGGGGTACAAAATTTGCTGCATGCTGGTTTCGGCCTCACCGAGGGGCCCATTCCTCGATACATAGCCGCCTCCGGCGCCGGGAGGCACCGGGAAAATCAGCTACGTGAGCTGATTCTCCACCCCCCCCTTCGCTATCCCCCCCTTTCGCCCGACCCGAAAAGTACCCATACCTCTACCCTGCGCCCGTTTTCCCCTTCTCGGGCCTCCTCGGCGGCCCTCGTCGCCACCGCTGGGTTCGCCTCGAAGTCCTGGTCAGAGGGCAGGCACCCAGGGAGAGGTCCAGGGAGTAGCGGTATCGCGGTATCGGTACCTCTTGGTTTCCCCAAGCACTGGTGCTGGCCAGCAGGAAGGGCGGGCGGGTTCTAGGTTCTGGTCTCGTCCGTCACTACAAAAAAATTGACAGATACGTCCAATAGAGTTTTTCCGTGGCGTCAGGGGAGGGTAGCAGTGTATAAGTCGCCACTGAAAGCCAGCGACGTCATACACCGGCGCCATCCCTGGATGTACGCGCAAAGTTCGTCGGAGGGCGTCTGTGTACGTATTTTCTCGGCGTAGTTCGGGAAGGTTTCTTACCTTCTACGGCCTCCAGGTGCCGTCTCAGGGCCCCCAAGGCAAGACAAGGCAAGAGTGCCGTGCATCCGTGAAGGACGCGCGGGCAGGAAGCGCAAGCAGCAAGTCGCCGGAGCCGCCGTTGGCGCCTCTGGGAGGAGGGGGAGTGGAGGGGATGGGAGGAGAAAAGGTGCGCACAAAGAGATTATTCAGATACTCACAGGATCAAGCTTGTGTAATTACGGATTGCACCCACTGCTGCCTGGGCCTCTCTGCGCCGGCGGGGAGCCCAATCCTTGGGCGTGCCAGCGGCGTTGCACACCACCCGCTTCACCAAGGAGTCGTCTGCTTGCCAAGCAATTCTTCTACATAGCCTGCCTTTGCGATCGCATCATGTTGCAGACAGCGGTTTGGATCTGGCACGAGCCAGCACGCTAGCATTCGAAATCCTCCAACAGTAAGAGCGAGGTGCGCCCATGATCTGTCGCATGCACTTGCAATGAAAAGCGTCAAGCCCTGATCTACCAGTCTTGAACAGCCACAAGGAATTCAAGGAGTAGAGGATCTTGCTCAACACGGAGCTGGTATAGATTTGCAGTTTCCTTGTCTTGCTGATTGCAGCGTTCTTCCAAATCTTGCACAACTGATGGAATAAACCTTGCCCTTCGCCCAGTTGCCGGTTCAATTCATTTCCCAATAGCCCGTCGTGTGTGATTGAGCCTCCCGAGTAGATTGCTTCAATAACTCTTCGAATGGGCTCCCCAGGCGGCCTCGTCACCACGCTGTCTGACGACATTGAGATCTGCACAGTCTTATCACAGTTGAGCCCCCGACCATATTTGCATCTTTCCAAAACGACAGCATCAAGTAGAGCTTGACAGGTGTCCCCATGCCTCGGAAGCAACCGCGTCATCTTCGTAGAGCACGTCTCGCGTAACCACATTTTGTGGTTCACCTTGTAGCTGGAGATCGTGAGATGCATCATGGAGCGAGCCAGGAGGAGATCACAGAAATTACTCTGGCGACGTACCCAAGGCGGGGCAGGAGTAGCTTGGGAGATTTGACGAAAACGCGGCGGCGTGGCATGCATGGACGCATATACTTCTGCGAGCGGCATTCGGAAGGTTCGCAGGTCCCCAACCAAGGGGAAAAACCATGAGTAACTAACTGAAGCCATAAGTCACGAAGGGAGACGCAAGGTCCAAAAGGAGACTGTGGGCAAGGGGCTTGCAACGTCGGCGGGGCAGCGACAACGTGACATGGCCACCCAGGGACGGCGAGGTCCCGCTCAGGTCCGCGCAGTGCCTCACTCCGCTGGACCCACAAGTAGCCTTCGAAAGTGGCGAGCCCTGCCAGCAGCCCTCGAAAGCGGCGACAGTTTTGCAGATCGCAGCCCCCCAGGAACGGCGAGGTCTCGCTCAGGTCCGCGCGGTGCCTCACTCCGGTGGACCCACCAGCAGCCTTCGAAAGTGGCGACAGTTTGGCAGATCGCAGCCCCCCGAAGACGGCGAGGTCTCGCGCAGGTCCGCGCGGTGCCTCACTCCGCTGGACACACCAGCAGCCTTCGAAAGTGGCGACAGTTTGGCAGATCGCAGCCCCCCAGGGACGGCGAGGTCTCGCTCGGGTCCGCGCAGTGCCTCGCTCGACTGCACCCACCGGCAGCCGTCGAAAGCGGTGACACTTTCGCAGATCGCAGCCCCCCAGGGACGACGAGGTCTCGCTCGGGTCCGCTCGGTGCCCCACTCCGCTGGCCCCACCGGCAGCCTCGAAAGCGGCGACAGTTTCGCAGATCGCAGCCCCCCAGGGACGGCGAGGTCTCGCTCGGGTCCGCGCGGTGCCCCATTCCGCTGGCCCCACCAGCAGCCCTCAGAAGCGGCGACATTCTCGCAGATCGCCGCCCCCCAGGCAAGGCAAGAGGATACAAGAAGGAGGGGGGGGGGGAGGCGGGAGGAGGAGGAGGAGGAGGACGCGACCGCTGTGCTCCATTCAAAACCAATAATTACCCAACCAAGGAGGGTTGGGAATAATTGAGGATGCCAGGAACATGTATACCATTGATATATTTCGACGACATGTGGTTCCGCGGAAAGGGGAAACTGCGAGGCAGAAGGCAGACGAAGTCCGATCATCGTCATGCACTGCCAGAGCACAGCGCCAACCTGGAGCCAAGTGTGGTTCAAAAAGGGCGCGGCTCAGTACCCAGCCAAGGTATTTTGTTTTCGCCAATGAAGAACGACCCTCGAAGAGATGAGGCGTGTGTCATGCTTTACGACAGTCAAGGAAGCTGCGTTTAAGCTTCGCGCGACCCCAACACGGGAGAGGAAGGTGGTCAAGTCGGAGATTCGCAGGCGAATGTTGAAGTCGAAAGGGTAGTCAGAACGGTAGAAAAGGGCCACGCTAGGACATGAAATAGTGTTCTGGACGACAGGTACAACCGTCAATTCGGTGAAGGAGATGCCTTTATACCTTGGCTGGCTGCTTCCGCCCTACTCTCACCAACAGTTTTACGATGGATGCCGATGGCAAGACGGCCCACGAAAGGTGCCGAGGGCGGAAGTTTAACAAACCGTTGCCCGACTCCGGAGAATGCGTCATGCATCTGAAGACCCCGCCCCCCAAGAAAGGCAACGACGTCAAAGCAAGGTGGGACAGTGCCGTACATGAGGGAATACATGAAACCAGCCGAGAGCTCATCATGGGCATTCCAGAAGGCGCCATTCAAGTCTCACGAGTTCAGGCACGCATTGAGCGGCGAGGAGAAATTCAATTTGGAGGAGGACGACAACATGCCGGGGTTACCCTGGTCACCAGACCCGAACGCGCTTGGAACGGAGGCGCGAACCATAGTAGTCTTAGCAATGGCGGTGCCCAGTCAAGGTCAAGAAGCTGATGCCAGACTGGGGAGACGCAACCCACAAACCTCACCGCGAGGAATGTCGAGAATGCGTTTCCGAGTGGCTGATAAGGCAGGACGACCCGAACACCCAAGAATGTAAGCAGCAGCTCAGATGAGCACGCGGCCCAGCAGTTCCCAGCAGGACAAGAGCAGGGTCGAGCCATTGACAGACAATTGGGCGTTGATGACGGGTTATCTATTCGACAACAGTGCGAACCCAGAACCAAAATGCATGCGCCTGGAGACCTGGGGGTCACTTCCCTCAGAGTGTCATGCAATGATAAACGAACGCGCGCAATCGATCAGGACGCCGGCGAAACGGATAACGCGACCGATTGGAAAAGGAGAACATGACAGGCATCTACGAGGACTTCGGATGGGGTGGATTGACTTTCGCGCCACCCTTGAAGGCGATGTCGACGCGCGACCAGCCCGCGTCATCCCGCCAGCGTCAGCGGCGGCGAAGAGGGCCCGAAGGGCCACAGAAGTCAAGGAGGAAGAGGATGAGGATGAGGAGATATTGGGCGCGGGCGACGAGGTCGAGGTCAGTTAGGAGGCAGGCGACGAGAACACGGACAGGAGCATGCCCGAGCACGCAGACGAATAATTCGATGACATGGGCGCGTGTGACGCACTCGCTGGGTCAAGCACGATGGGTTTTGGCGTCGAAGTCGCGTCGCTCAGCGCCAATTTGGAAGTCGTCGGACTGGATGGGGGCACCAGGAGGGCAGCGATGTCATGCGCCATCGGGCAGCACAACGCGCAGTCGCACGTCTCTGATGCCCGCCCGCCAGTCCGGATCGATGACACGGCGGAGACACTTCTGATTACTGCCAGGAGTAGCTATGGGCTAAACAACACGCGGTGCACATGGGGCCCTTGGGATTTAAACTGCGAGGCGACGCGAGCGGAGGTGGGGAAGAGTATCACCATGAGCAAAGCAGCCTCGCGGTTCACCGCAAGTCCAACGCGCGCAGCCGCCAGCAGGCCATTGGCGTTTAATTCGAGGCGCCCGGGGCCGGACAGGATAAGGGGCGCGTTCGATGACGGGGCCAAGCACCTCGCGCTCGCGTTGAAGCTGCGTGACTTTGAGAAACAAGAGGTTGCATGTTCTCTTTGGGCACCCTGCGAGAGCTTGAGGCTGGGCCGCATCGCCAGCGCGGAGAACGCCAAAGCGCGCAGGCGCGCTGACACGATGGCCATCTGCGCCGGCATGACTCAGAGCAGGCGGCAGAGGAAGAAGAGACGCCCACGAAGGATCCCGCGCGGCCCATGGCCGACAGCCCCTGCATCGGAAGGGCCCCCAGGGCCAAACGCCAAAATCATCGTCGACGAATCAAATTAACCCGCGGAGGCAGAGCGAGGAAATCTGAGGTATATCTAGACCAACTCTGGTCGCGTCATTCTTGAAGGCTTTGTCGCCCAGGTGGCGGCCGACGGTCGATTCGCGCGCCCCCTCAGAACTTGCGGCCCCGAGGTCAATTGGAGCGAGCCAGGCGAGGGAATGGGGATCAACGAGATCGGGCGCGAGCTGAACGAGCGCGGACACGGGCCTGCGTTAACCTGGACTAAGAAGGATCACGGCACATCTCGCGTGCGCGCCCAGGAAATTCACCGGCCGTCATGGAGTGCGCGCCCGCGCAGGATTTCGAGCATTGCACAGCGGCCGAGACGGCGCGCGCCTGAAGAAGCGCCAACAACCTTCGCCAATTCGGCCCCGGCGCTTCGGGCGCCATCGCGGCCCCAAGACCGCGCTCGCCAAGACGGAAGAAATCGCCCATTCAACTCCCAAACACCATTTGCCAAGACGAGTGGCGCCACCAGCTCGGCCCTGGCAGTTTGTTCGGCGAGACCGAAGTCGCCCCCGTTTCTGACCATCTACTCGGCCCAGACGCTTCGCTCGTAAAGACGGAGGGCGCGGCAACGGGGGCCGTCGAGGGAGTCCGTCGATTCGGGGGGGGGCAGTCGCCGGGGTTCGAGGCCCCAGAGGGAGGCCGCCAAGGGGGCTCGCAACGGGGGGGGCGCTCGGCAGGAGGCCGCCACGAGCGCTCGTCAACTCGGCAGGGGGCCGCCAAGGGGGCTCGTCGATTCGGCGGGGGGCCGTCGCCGGGGTCAAGTCGGAGAGTTGACGGCCAAACCACTTCATTAAAGGGAATTGATCGCCAAATCTTTTCACTGAGATGGAGTCGGCGCCCGAGCGCCGGACGGAGCGCGCGCGGCCGTCCGCCATGGCGCCCAGGCCCACTTCCAGAACAGCCGCCCGCGACAGACTCAAGCAGCGCGGCTCGACTTGGACGCCGGCCAAGCGCCCGAGGACAGGGGGGGCGGGGGCGAGATTGAAGGACTGGAGAGCAGGAGAGAATTCTGGGGAGTAGCGCGCAGCACCCAGCGCCACCCAGGACATCCACCCCCTGGACAGCGGAGCGTGCCAATACTGGGGGCGGTCGAACGTCCCAGGGGCGCTCGAGGCATGCAGGACCGTGGGCGATGCGCAGCCGGTGGCAGAGGTGACATATGGGTCGTTCATTGCGAGCGTGGAAAAGCACAGGCGCGGGACGATGCGCAACTCGAGGTCCACGAGAAAGTATGGACAAGCATTGCGAGGCGGTCGCTGACAAGGCCCTCGTTGGCGCGAAGTGGATCGAGAGCAACAGAACAGGCGAATCCAATCCTGGGCGCCGATGCCCGCTCGTAGCCCGGGAAGTCATGCACAATTCCACAGAGGGGGGGCGCATTTGCAGCCGCGCCCATGTTGGAATCCCCAGGAGAACATTCTCCACGGCCGCTCCCGAAGGGACAGGGCACTGTCTCAGGGGGGCGTGGGGCAGGGCTAACGATGGCGCAGATAGACGCGAGGCGGGTCCGCTTTTCCGCCACTGCCAACACATCTTCATCAGGTTACCCGAGGGAGATCGTGGGGCAGGCACGCACGGAGGAAGATCGAAAGTAACGCATGGAACTCGAGATGCAGCCAACAATTGGGAAGCTTGTTGCATGGATCGCGCGCGTGATAGTGGTTTTGGCCATGGGGAAGCATCACCATGCGTGCTCAATCATTGACCTGGCCAAAATAGCATCGGGGTGAATATACTTATGTACAGTTCTCAGCGAAGGAGCGTGTGCGCTCGATGTCAGCCCCAACCGGTGGAGCATGGAAAAGTTGCTTATAACATTGGGCAGGTACTTCAAGAACCACGACAGGTGTGGGCATCCGTGTTTGCATCAAGAATGTCCCAAGGAGTTAACCGCATGGACTGACGCCGACTTTGCCGGTTGCAGGAATACACGTAACTCGACAAGCAGAGGAGCATTGATGTGAGGATCACATTGGAGAAAGCCGCGGGCCCCGACTCAGGTCGTAATGGCGGACTCTTCTGGAGAAGCAGAGTATTGCAGAATGGTGAACGGCGGCTCAGTAGCAGGAGGACTACAAGCAGCTCTCCAAGACTTCGGCGCTGATTTGGCATCCCGTCGAATGGCGACGCCAGCGCAGACATTACCACCGTCATCATGCGAAGGTTTGGACACCCCAGACACTCGAAGTTTGCCAGTTTGGGTTACATGAGAAAGTGCGACGAGGAGACAAGACAGTGATCCAAGTAGGAACCCATGAGATCATTGCAGATGCTTTCGCTACATATGTGCGCAGAGATAGCATGTCCATGCGTATTTGAGGCACCAATCCAGATATTGTTGAAAGGATGACACGCGCTGGCGCCATTTACGGGGCGTTAGCTTAATTCGCATATGGTTATCACCGCGCGCCGCTTCACCAGAAACTTGAGCGCAGGACCGGTTGGTACCCAGGTGTCCGTGCCGTCCACACGCACACACACACGACAGCATATGTCAAGCATTATGCACGAGTTGGTGCTTTGCGAGGACTAGAGGTGTTATATTGCGAGTCAGAAGGCCCCTGCACGCTTACGCCCAAAACATTTCCGCGCCTTCAGCTTGCATCGGATACGTGTTCAGTTTTAGTTCCGTAGCTTGACCTGCTACGATGGAGTCTTGGCTTCGTTGCGTTGTGTATTGGTGCGGATCCTTGCCGTTGCCCAGTCTGCTTGTTGTTGTCGTTTCTTTTTGTCACTTCATTCGGCGAAAATTGGTTGAGGGGGGTGTTCGTACGTAGCGTTACGATTGAATGAGGACGGTGCGTTTTTTTTAGCACGTAGCAGGATTGTGATATAGAAATTATAGCGGTGCGCGTTAATTGTGGGCCGCAATTACTTTGGCCAAGTCTCGTTTTCCTTCCGAACAACAAAAAACTCCCACCATATTTTCGGGGGGGGTGAAGGGCGAGGAGGCGGAGGAAGAGGAGGGGGCAGGGAACAGGGAGCAGGAAGACGACCATTGCAGACCCAAAGCAAAACAACGCTGTTGTAATGAACCCTTCACCCAAGGTCCCTCATCCTAGGTCTCTATAAGAATGGATGAACATTGCGAGAAGCGCCCCATTGAACGAGATACGCCTGATAATCCTGAAGCGTGCCAACACACAGTTCATGAGGCTTCCACGCCACGAATCTACGTGATTGGTTGCGTCTTGTCAATCTTAGGTCGTGCCAGGCGAGAGCCACAGTTTGAAAACGACTTAGGATCCATCCTAGAATCTGCTCGGGTTTCAAACTGCTGGATTGTAGGCGGTGAAAAGGTCAGCCTCAGGCGAAATGCCCGGCCCGCCCTATCGACGCGTCTGGGGGGCGCGACAGACAGGAGTTGCTTCTGAGGAAAGAGGATAGTGTTGCCGAGGAACCGCGGAGGGTCCTGTCCGAAGGGGCCCCCCTCCCCGCTCCTGCCCCCCATCCCGCCCCTCCACTTCAGGAGAGCCCCGACTGGCGTTCCCTCCCAGCCTGGCTGGGCGAGTCGACCGCTCGACCCCCCCCACCCGTGTGTGTGTGTGTGTGCGTGTGCGTGTGCGTGTGCGTGTGCGTGTGCATGTGCGTGTGCGCGTGCGTGTGCGTGTGCGTGTGCGTGTGCGTGTGCGTGTGCGTGTGCGTGTGCGTGTGCGTGTGCGTGTGCGTGTGCGTGTGCGTGTGCGTGTGCGTGTGCGTGTGCGTGTGCGTGTGCGTGTGCGTGTGCGTGTGCGCGCATGCGCGCGTGCGCGCGTGCGCGCATGCGCGCGTGTGTGAGGTGTGTGTGTGTGTGTGTTGTGTGTGTGTGATGTGTGTTGTGTGTTGTGTGTTGTGTGTTGTGTGTTGTGTGTTGTGTGTTGTGTGTTGTGTGTTGTGTGTTGTGTGTTGTGTGTTGTGTGTTGTGCGTGCGTGCGTGCGTGCGTGCGTGCGTGCGTGCGTGCGTGCGTGCGCGCGTGCGTGCGTGCGTGCGTGCGTGCGTGCGTGCGTGTGTACGTGTGTTTGTGTTTGTGTGTGTGTGTGTGTGCGCGTGCGTGCGTGCGTGCGTGCGTGCGTGCGCGTGCGTGCGCGCGTGCGTGCGTGCGTGCGTGCGTGCGTGCGTGCGTGCGTGCGTGCGTGCGTGCGTGCGTGCGTGGGTGTGTGTGTGTGTGTGTGCCCTCTCTCACCTCCTTCCTCTCCTCATCCGCTGCCCTACCCGTTCAGGTGCTGCTGGTGAGAAGGCTCCCTCCGCCTCAGCGGAGAAGCCCTCTCTCGTCTTCCTCCCGCGGAATCTCCGGTGACTCTCTGGTCCTGACCTGGGCCCCCTCTCCCCCTCAGGGGAGGAAGCTTCCACGGACGCCAGGATCGGCTCTCTGGCCCGACCTTCCCTCGCACCCCTCCCGCCCCAGGAGAGCCCCGACCAGAGGGTCTCCCAGCTGCAAGCCCAGCTGGAGGCGGCCGAAGAGGAGGCCCAGCGCCTGCGGGAGTGGCTGGACGAGCAGTCCCTCCGGGAGCTGACCGCCGAGACGCAGCGCCTGGAGGAGACCAGGGAGGACGTGCAGTAGCATTTTTCGCGTCGGCGGCTGAAGGCAGGGGACGTCTGCGCTGGCGATGGGATGCCTAAACGGCGACGCCGTTAGAGCGAATTGCGCCACCATGCAGGAGGAGGAGCGGGGGGAGGGCGCGACCAGAAGAGGCGCAGACGGAGCGAGTGGCTCAGGAAGGACGGGTCGCTCCCCGAGCGGCGGCGCGGCCGTAACAGGTAACACGTGCCCCCAGACGGGGCATCGGGGGCGGAGACAGCGAGATGGGTGGGCCCGAGGAGCACACGATACCGATACCGGCACTCACTCGTCGCCGCCACGGCTGGATTCTCCGTGAAGTCGTGGTCAGAGAGCACCTTGGGCCCGGTCTCTGTGCCCTCTTGTGCCCTCCCCGCCCAGGGGAGCGAAGGCAAGCGCCGCGCCCCGCGACCCTGCCCGGGGGTCTGGGTCGGGGGCCGTTCGCCCGCAGGCCCGTGTGTCTGGGGTTCCAGAGACGGCTTGTCACCAAGTCTGTGGTCGAGATGATGCGATGCATCTCCCGTCCCAGCTCTCCCTCGCATGTCGGGAGCGAAAGAAGGACGTGCACGTACATGAATCCACGTTGGTTTCGGGAAGACGACTTGCGCGAACGTTGGTATCACGTGGCAAGTCTCGCGGACTGGAGGGCCGTGTTCATGTACGTGGTTGGACGCGTACGTCCCTCGTGGGCTCCTTAGCATGCAGGTCCAGATGCTGAGGCAAAGAGGCCAGCACGTACCCCGATGGTACAGGCACGTATTCTTTTGCCACCCTGCATGGGGGAGGGCCTTGCCTTCCCTGTGACGCGGCGCCTGGAGGAGGCCAGGGGGAGCGTGCAATGTCCGGTGCGCGGCAGGCTCAGGAGGGAACGCATCGACCCCCGATCACCCGCTCCTCGCCCACGAGGGCTTGATGGCCCACCCCGCCCAGGAGTGTGCGGTTCCGCTACCGGGGGCCCATCGCCGACCTATCGGGGACGTGCCGCCGACTGCAGCTCGATGTCTTCCCCCGCCCGGGCCCGGCGCCCACCGATCGCGACCCCTTCTGGAGTGGGGCGGGGAAAGGCCGCGCCTTCCGTTTCAGGGCACGAGGGAGGGACGGGGGGGCAGGCGAAGTTGGTGCATTTCCATCCTTCTGATTCCTCCCAAGCGCTTGGATGACCCGCTTCTGTTTTTTGTCTTGGGTGTTCCGCCAGCCAACTCGGCTCACATATCGCATGTGTCATGGAAGTCTATGCCACGTGTCCACTGTTGTCGTCGTCGTCCTCCTCCTCCTGCTCCCACGAAACCACGCGCTGCAGCAGTGGACCCTCGATTCAGTCGGGGCCCACGCCACGTTGCGTTTGCACCCAGATGCTTCCCTCTCGTGGTCGAGTGGCAGGGCTCATTTCGATTCCTCAAATTCGATTCGATTCGATTCGATTTCGATGGATTCCAGTCAGTTCCGATTCAATTCGACTTCGGATTCCGATTGGGATCCGATTTCTCAATGGAGGCCTACTAGCCTGCCGATGTCTACCGATTCGACTTTTCCCGACTCGGCTGCCGATTTCCGTCGATCCGATTCATTTTGATCGCCGATCCGACTTGTCGATTCGATTCTCGGCCCTCCTGGAGTGGGTACAAAAACAACGGAACTCCGCATGTTGCCTTCATCTTCCTCGCATGCGGAGGAGGCGAGGGCGCCATAACGTAGGCGTGGAGTCTTGCCGCTGTGCACCGCGAGGAGATCAAGCGCGTCCGGGAGGACGTCGGCGCGCAGGTGGAGGCCGCGAAGAAGGACCGGGGCTCAAAGCCGAGTTCCCGCGGGCCAGACAGTCGAACGTGTCTTGAGGCTCGCTCGGTCTGAAAGTGCCAGCCGCCTCTCCATAGCGTTCTGAATCGTCTTTTGTCGGCGCCTGAGGCACCGGGATCATTTTTTCTTTGAACAGTGTCGGCGTTCGGTGCGATGTGCTGGGGTGAACACGCGTGCGTAAGTGTAGAGCCATTATCTGTCGATGCGTCGTCCCAAATGTGGCCCCAAGCCTGGGGGCAATACCGATTGCGAGACCGGATTTGTTTCGTGAACCTCGCACATGTGGCAAAATAAAGAGACGTGTTAGCGGTTGGCACAGGCGTGTGTAAGCACATGCTTCTCGACGCTCGAGTTGTTTGTGGTCGCCTCGGCAACGAAACCTGGATGTGCGTTGAAATCGAATGTATGACTACTGATTGCCTTTCTACTTCTACGTAGGTGAGGTTCCACTCGTTTTGCCATTCTCAACCTGGTTGGCCCTCGAGCACCACTGCATCGACGCAGCATGATGCCGTCACCCACGACCAGGACCTCCTCCTCCTCCTCCTCCTCCTCCTCCTCCTCCTCCTCCTCCTCCTCCTTATCATCATCCCCCCCTGTCGTAGTTTTTATCCGTCTCGCGGTTCCAATGTCTGTCTTTGCTGTCATATGTACCAGATCCAAGATCGGGCATAGCCAGGACCCCGGTCAAGGGGAGCCGGTTAGTGATTGGGCCCCGAAGCCCAAAAGATGGATTGGAATTATTACACCAGTTCTGCCGTAGCTGGTGCTTTTCGGGTGACGGCAATTCTGGTCCGTGGAATGGGACGGGGGGGGCGTCCCCGGTACAGATCACCAAACCAGGTCCCATGAAACCCAGTCCTGCCATCGCCCGACCAGAGGCCATGGGCTCCCGCACTTGGTCTTGGCTAGGCGTGGGCCTCTGGCCGCTGTGGTGGCTCGCTCGTTCGCCCCGAGGAGGTCCTCAACGAGAACAAGGACCTCCGGGTGCGCATCCGCGAGCTCGAGAAGGGGCCCGAGGGGACCGTGCAGGTGAAGGTCCGACAAGGGGGGGGAGATCGCGCGCCTCCTGACTGCTCGTGCTTCCCGCTCGTGCTTCCCTTTTGTTCCTTCTTCCCTCCCGCCTCCCTGGAGAGGGGCACTGCGGGAGCGCGGTTCCGACGGCCAGCTCCTTCGGCACCGCAGCGCGCCGTCTCCGTGGCAGGTGCGCCTGATCGAGCTCGAGAAGAAGCTCGGCGAGCAGACAGAGGCGCTGAGTGCGGCCGAGACCGAGAGGGACCGGCTGAGGCTGCCAGTGGGGAGCGGGTGGGGGAGAGGGCGAGGGTGAAGGAAGGAGGAGAGAAGCGGAGGAGGAAAAGGTGCCCATACCGCTACCCTTCCCTCGCTTTCCCTCTTGTTCGGCCTGGAGGCCCTCGTCGCCACCGCTGGATTCGCCTCGAAGTCCTGGTCAGAACGCGCCCCGGGATCGGTCCAGGGAGTAGCGGTAACGGTATTTTGTGTGGTTTCCCTTGGGAAGGGGGGAGAGGCGCAGCAGGATGAGGGGAGAGGCAGGGAATAAGGCAGTGCAGCTTATGTCGGCGGCGAGCGAGGGGGGGGAAGTAAAAAAACAAAAGCTTCTCAGAAGGCGGCGAGACTTCTCAGAACCCCCTCGCGCCTTCTGAGAAGTTCTCCGCGTCTTCGGGGAAGGCTTAGAAAACTTCTCAGAAGGCCGGGAGACTCCCCAACCTGCTCAGAAGGCCGTCTCCTTCTCACTTCACCCCTCGCTCGCCGCCGCCTATGAGCTGGCATCAACAGCGGCAGGGAGCAGAGCGTGTCCTGTGCATCGAAGCGTTGCGTGGGCCACGTTGGCTCCGAGCGCGAGCCGAGGAGCAGCAAGTTCCACGTCGTGGCGGCATGGCCTGGCTACCGAACTGGTCCACGCAGCTGTCGCAATGACGACGGTTGAAGAAGGCGCAAATGAGCGCCAGCACGGACATGAAGCTCAGTAGGTTCGGCGGCATTGCTGAGCGCTGGGCGGACTGGGTGCACGGGTGCACGTGGCTCGAGGCCTGCACGGGTCTCCGCGGCATGGGTCAGGTGATGGCGGCGGCGGACAGCGCCGACCCTTCAGACGTCACCACGCTGGGCGACCACGCAAGAGCGATAAGCTTTAGGCGGTGGCATCTGGGCGCGACGTGGTACAACTGCAGGAGCTTAGCGTCACCAAGCGCTATCGCAACAACAGACGAGGCTTGGCGGCAGTCAAATGCCGAGGGCGAGAGCAGGTCAGGTAATCGCTAAGCTGTGATGCTGCAGTTCGGCTCGAGCTCGTGGGAGATGCGGACGAAGGACCGCGAGGCTGAAGTGAGTTTCGTCCAGTTGTTCAAATATGCGGCGCGCCCGGAGGGGAAGGCAGAGAGGGCGGGCCTTCTCAGAAGGCCTGAGGGTTTCTGAGAGCCCCCGCCGCCTTGTGAGAAGGCCTTCTCCTTCTCACTTCCACCCTCGCTGCGCCGCCGACAGCACGGGCAGTGTGGAATGCCGAGCATGTGGTCTGCAGCGGCGAGGTGATCTCGGGCAGCGTTCTGATCAGCGCGCTGCCTGAAGTCGGCGATAGAGCCACGCCGCAATGTCTCGGAAGTCACGTTGAGGAGCCCTTACCCAGCCAAACGACGGCCTGGACGAGGACGACGGCTGCTCTCGTACAACAGCCTCAGTTCCATCACGCCGCATTTTCTCGTACAAAAGCGTAAGTGTGCCATCCATCATGTTCTTCATGAATGCCAGCACCCCATGTTTTGTTCGTTTGTGTGGCTGGCTTGTTCAGCATCTTGAGGGCCACCCAAAAGAAGGGCGATACCAACATAATAATTGCGAAGCCTATTGGAAGAAGCGAAGGCCCAGGTGGGCAAACTCATATTAGAATTTGTGCAATCGCCTTGAATGCATACGGGGCTGCTTTGGGAGCGCCCAGGGTATTTCTCAAGACCCTGCCAGGGCCTCCACGGCACTCTGCTTGGAGGTGCGTCGGACCGTTCCTTGGCACCCATTGGTCGTTAAAAGCATGAGCATATAATGTATGATATCGTATAACCGGCGACCGGGCCCCCAGGCCCTGGGGCCCTCACTTTTTCAAAACTCACCCCTCTCCCCCGCAAGCCACTTTGCTCCCTGGCGCCGGCGGGTCTTTTTGAACGCTCCAGGGCGTTCCCTGCGCCTCGAGGCTTCTCCTTGGCGCCCGCAGCGGACGCCGAGAGGCTGCCAGGACGGCCCAAGAGCGCACCAAGCCGCCCAAGATGGCCCAATGATGGCCCAATGAGCCTCCAAGAGGCCCCAAGAGCGCTCCGAGAGGATCTCCAAGAAGGCCCCAAGAGGCCAACATCATCGATAGTCAGTGTGTGTTCTTCATTCTGTTTCGCGCTCTCGTGCTTTCGGGTTTTGGGCACTCCAAGACTGCCCAAGAAGCCTCCAACCTCGCCCCAAGACGGCCCAAGAGGCCCCCGAGACGGCCAAGAGGGCCCCCGAACGGCCCAAGAGGCGCCCAAGACGGCCCAAGAGGGCCTCAGGACGGCCTCAAGAGGTCCCCAAGGTGGGGAACGCGAACCGACAGTTCGAGCTTTCTGCCCCAAGAGGCACCCAGGAGGCGCCAAGAGGCCCAAAAGAGGCACCCGGGAGGCCCAAAAGAGGCCCCAAGAGTTTCCAAAACGCTCCCCCGGAGGCTTCAAGACTGCTTCCAAGAGGCCCCCGAGAGGGCTTGCACGAGATCCAAGCGAAATTCCAAAGGGCCTAACCCACGGCATGGGCCGAAGGCGTCAAGAGGCAACAAATATGGATTCCAAATAGATGTTTCAACGATGTTCTTGCTGCTCTTTCGCAATTCCAATTCTCTAAGACAGCCCAGGAGTCCTCAAAAACCTTTCACGACGGCCCCCGAGGTCTCCGACAGGGCCTCGAGACGGCCCAGAACGCCTCTAATACAACCCAAGAGCTATCCGGGAGAGTTCCGTAGCCATTTTGGCTCAAGATGCTCCGCTCGTTGTGGTCATTGCGTCACGATGTGGCCGACATTATTTCCAGCAGGCTTCTCGACGCGTTATGCTGGTGGATTGTTGCTCCCACTGGAGAAGCGATTGGTGTCGTTTCCTTGGGGCTCAGTGTCCTCTAGCCTTGCCACGGCAACCATCTTTGAGGTTCTTGGACTGTTCTACCTATGGCCCCATCGCGTGCCGAGAAAGGGCTTGCAACCAGGTCTTCTGTCAAAGGATGGGTTAGCATCGTTCACGTTTGTGGATGTGTCTTGGGCAGCCTCGTTTTACCCCCAGTTCTGGATTTTCTCGGTTGGTATGTCAGTGGCATCTCTGTGCGGTGGTATTGCTATGTGTCTTGGCAGTGAGGCAATGCTTCGAGGTCTTGCATTGGAGCGTTGGCAGATTTGGCAGCGCAATGTGTACTCCGCGTGCGGCTTGACCTGTGCAATTGCTGGAGTAGTAATGGCATGTTGTCGAGTGAACACGGGAAGACAGTTCATGCACGAAGTAGCGGCTGTTGTGCAACTTGGGTCATTACTATTTGGAACGTTTATGTACAAGCAGTTGTGCCGTCACGCCTTGATGACATACATGTTTCGTATTGTGATTCCGCTGTTGTTATTCGTAATCTGGTTCATCAATAACCCTAATTTGTTTCGCGGAGCCCAGAGTCAGAGTTGGGCACAATGGTTGTTCATCGTTTGCCTCTTTCAACATGGGTTTGAAGTCGATCATTTGAGAATATGTTTATTGAAGCGGCACGCGAGCGAATTCGAATAGGCAGGTTGACTGTGATTCTGGAGGCGCCTCATCAAAAAGCCGGTGCAGGGAAATTGGAAACGCGTGCCCCCAGCGCCTGCATTTTGACGGATAAGTTTGCCCAGGGATCCTTTTGCTTGAAGGATCGCGTTGATGCGCCACCATTGCCACAGGGTGTTTCATATGTTATAGGCCGGCAGTTCTTGTGTGAGTGATAACGATTGTTTGTTGCGCCATTCTCATTTGCAGGGCATTGGCGATTAAGTACACCCTTGCCAGATACGGGCCCCTCAACGACGGAGCTGGTTCGCAAAGGGATGTTGGCCATGCGGTTCGCGTATTTGGGCAAGTTGGACCGCGGAAAGGTTGGTCCTCTCATGGCGCAGTCTATGACGAGAAAAAAAAGAGCTATCCGGGAGAGCCCCAAGAGGGGCACAAGAGGCAGAACCCGAACTCATAGATCGAGCTCGCCCCCCGAAGACGGCCCCCGAGACCGCTAGCAGGGCCCCAACAGGCTTCCAAGAGGCCCCAGGAGCGCCCGAGGGGCCCCACAACGACCCCCAGAAGCATCAAGAGGCCCCCATAGAGGCTCCAAATATGACAAGATACTTCCGAGATGCATTCCAAGAGACCAGACAACTTTCCAAATAGCCTTCCAAGAGCGCCCCAAAAGGCATCCAAAGAGACTCTCAGCATGGTTTTGCCAAGCTCTGTTAGTGTTTCTCGGGCATGGCAACCCCCCATTAGGCTGCCCTGGGTCCTCCTCGTGGCTGCCCTGCGCGCCTTCCTGGAATCTTCCTGGGCGCTTGCAGAAACAAGCGCTGGGGAATTTGCAACTTCTGGTCTCTTTTGCAGACCCTCTACGCTTCTTCTTACCCTTCTCCTCGTGGCTAATTTAGAAAACATATAGCCTTTCCCAGCCGCGCGGCCGATGGACGGGGGGCTTCCTGTGACAGTTATTGCCGGTCAGCCTGGGGAGGGAGTTAGTTTTTTTCTTTTTCCATAGAAGTCTGTGTGGCAATATAAATGGTCGCCGGTCGGGGCCAACCGACCGGCCAGAGGATAGATTGCGAGAGAGAGGAGAATGAGGAGGAGGAGGAGGAGGAGAATGAGGAGGAGGAGGAGGAGGAGGTGGAGGAGGGGGGCGAGGAGAAGGACGAGCTGGTGCGCTAGCGTCACATTGATGTTCGCCGACGGCGGAATCGGGGCATCCACCACTTATTTTGCACACCTTATCCCTGGGATCCCTGAGGTTCCGGAACCCTCGGGTTCGTACGGCCTCTTGCGTTATTGCGCACTGTATTGCAGTGTCTATCACTTGGTTGTTTTTGGACGGATGTGCACAGGCATGGTTCCGCAAACGGCATTGCGTTGGCGATCATTGTTCTGCTTCGCATTTAATTGTATTGCATCGCATTTCCTTGCTTTTCATTTGCGTTGCTTCTCGCTGCATGCCTCTCGCATTTGGTTTCCATGGCACTGCGTTGCATTGCAGTGCCAGTGTGGGCACTCCATTATGACGCGTCGGTGTTCCTCATATTCATGCCATTGGTAGGGAACTATTTCAGGGGACCTGTGAACTTGTCACGGCATGGGGCTTGCTAGAAACTAAGCGCGCGCGAAGCGCGCGCGCGCGTAGTTCTAATCTAGACGATTCGGGGTCGGCTTGAGAACCGTCCATGCGGTTGCAAGGTAAGAGCCCTAAGACGTGCACGCGCCTTGCTCAAGGTGTTGCCACACATGAAAACACGACTTGTATTCCTCGACCCGCCTTTACCCTGAGACAATTTATCGCACATGAGAGACCCGACGAAGATGTGAACGCGAGGCGTCGGTTGATCCCGCCGGGGGGACTCTTCCCAGCAAGTGGAAATCGACGAAACCACCCAAACTGTGACCCCATGCGCCCCGCACTCCCAGGTTCGTGCGTATCTGCCAGCGCCGAGGCTAAGGCAGCTAAGCAGGCACCCTTCTTCGAGCCCAAGAAGGACAAATCTGCAGCTGGTAAGGACCTTGCTGACACGCTCGGGAGGCTGGCCGCCAAGTACGGGGAGAAACTGAAGCCCCAGACATTAGGAGCACTTCAAGCGGCGAAGCACAAGCTCGAGCGGAAGAAGGGCAAGCGCACCCACAAGCTCAACGATCCGGAGAACCAGCAGCCCAGGATGTCAGAGCGAATTCAGTCAGAGAAGCAGCATCTCAAGGAGCTCGACAACCAGATCGTCGAGGCAGAAGCCAACACCAAGAATGTTCACGGGTCAGCGCTCGGAGGAGCAGGGCTCGAAGGGCTCAAGGCAGTGGTCGACGCGATCAAGCCCCAGTCCGGCAAGCAAAGCAAATCCAAGGTCGACGCGATTTATCAGGCGTTCTTCGCGATCTTCCAAGAGGCAGCCGGCGAAGCCAAAATTGAGCGGGTTGCACCCACGCGGCTTCCGACGGCGCTGGCAGTGGCAATCTCGAACCTACTGCTGCTGGGCAACTTGATCTCGGCACAGGCGCAGACGGTGCAGGAGCAGCACCACCGCCCAATCCAAAGCCAGACTGAGAGGACCCAGACCGCCTGGACAACCTCACCGCCGAAGGGCCGCCAGAAACAAACCAGGCGACAAGGAGAAGCGCCTCGCAGGGATCCTGGCGGGAGCGGCCAGGCGGCGGAAGGTCTAGAAGACTTTGGCGCTACGCGGCCAACGCAAACACTGAATGCATGTGTGTGCGCGAGACCTTGGCCTGGATCAAGAAGAGGACTTTCGCGCCAGCGCTGGCGGCGCTCGTTGGAATCAGGAAAGAGTTCGACGATGGCTTCCCGCAGCCAGACTGGGTCTTCGAGCAGGAGTCCAGGTTCAAGAAGCCAGGTTTCGAGCAGGTCCGGCGATGGGACGAACAGCGCGGCTGCGACTTCGACCTGGCGGCAGACGAGGTCGCTGGCAATGCAGCCGCAGTTGTGTCAGGAGGCGTCGGGATTGGCGCCGTGAGGATGCGTGCCGCCGCCGCCCCCCATGCCGGCTGCATCCAGACGCGCGACGCGCTGGGCGCGCATTTGGACCATCTTTGCGAG